ACTTCCGCTGTCAGCCCCACCACCCCTACCAGCCCCCGCCACCATCTTGCAAACAACATCATATATGGGAGAGAGAAAAGGAAAAGAAAGAAAGAAGAAGTGGAAGAAAGAGTCGGATCTCCGCTGAAGATAAAGAGCCAGATCTACCACGTCCGCCGCCGTCACAGCCCTGCCATCGCCACCACAGATCTAAAGAAAGAATAAGAGGAAAGAAAAGAAGAAGAGAAGATCTATCCAGACTTACCACCGCCATCACTGTCACCATCGCCACAACCGCTGTCGTTACCGTCACCGTCGCCGCCACCATCGTCGCCGCTTGCAGATCTAGAAGAAATTGGAGGAGAAAGAAGAAGGGGGATAAAGAAGAAGAAAGACAAAGGGGGAGAAAGAGAAGAGAAGGAGGAAGAGGAGGAGATGGAAGAGAAAGTGACGGGTAGGGAATTGAGAAAGAAAGAAGGAGAGGAAGGAAGAAAGAAAGAGAAAAATGGAGAGAAAAGGAAAGAAACGAAGGGAAGAAGAGAAAGGAAGAAAAGGAGGAAAGGAAGGAAGATGAGGGTAATTTTGGAAGAATAGAGAGAAAAGCGTAGAGTGGGAACATCATTCCCGGACGGAAAAAAACGTAGACTGGGAACATCATTCCCGGACGGAGGGAGTAATATTTCAAAAATACTTCTTTAGATTTTATTTTTTCAATAATTTGTCCAATATTTTCAAAACTTATTTAAATTAAATATTTCATTGATATGTACTGTGTATTTGTAGAATACGGAGTAGTTAAAAGTTTAAATCATAGTTACAATATTATATTTTTTAAATGTTTTATGGAAAGAAATCATTTTAGAAATTTTTGTAATCAAGAAATATATTATATTATACTAAGTTATGCAAGTTATGACAATGGAGGACTCTAGCCAAGGTAGTTGGTAGGTGAACATGGAGATCAAGAGATCTAGTGTTCCAATCCTTGCGCAGTAACATTTTGGACAATTTTTGCAAAAAAAAAAAAACTGGTTTCCGGTTCTACCGGGCAATTTCTTCCGGTTCACGGCGGTTCGTGGCCGAGGCGGTCTTGTGGCCCGGCCGGTTTGGTCACCGGTTTCCGGTCCGAACTGGCCAGTCCGATCCGGTTTTTAAAACTATGCTTCCAAATAGGTTCTTATGTTTACAACTTCAGTCTCATGCTGCCCTAATCAACCTATTTTTTGATCTACACGCAGTTAATTCTTTCTTTTACTTTTGCTGAATTTTTTTGATTGATTTGAATGTGTGTCTGGTTACATTTTTAGAATTCTTTCTGTAAGAGTTGAGACTTGTCTTTTGATTGTCTCTTTTCTCAATTTCTTTCAACTCTTCTAAATTATTTCAATTTCTTTGACTCTCTTGTAAGTCCTAATTTTTTCCAATTACTTTCACTTTTTTCAATTTTTTCTAATTTCTTCAAACTTCATTTCTAAAATCTCCTAATTCTTTTAAGTTTTTTCAACTCTGTTCAATAGTGACATAAAAATTATTCATTTGCATTTCTATATAGTTTTTATTTCAAAGGAACATTATATAACTAGTAAATGCACATATTAAGAATATACAACACCATATATCCATATTTATAATATAAAAACTCTCAAGCACATGCATATTTTTTTATTGGAATTTGGAAGGAGTTCGAAATACAAAAAACGGGATGGAGTGAAAAGATACTGAAATAAATTGAGGTCTAAATTATTTTTATTGAAAAAATAAAATTAAAGGAATATACATCTTAATATTTATTTCAACTATAATTATTTTAAATGGAAAATACTGCTAATCAGCCACTTAAGCGCCCATATTACAAAGTATATCTTTGATTACATGTAAATTAAAAAATGAACTGATTAAGAAGTGTGAGTGAAGTTGTAAATACAAAAATTATTTAGGAATAGAGTAATTAATTGCATTTGAAGTTGTAAATTGCAAATTTCTTGAGTATGTAGATAAATTTTTCCTCAACAATATAACTTGTCGTAGTCTAGTATTACCTTAAAAATAATAGACTTACGTTTGGTGAAAAATGAAGACAAAGATCATAATTAACACACCCTCTCTAAGGATTGGCAACCATTTCTATCATGTATCTATATATTTCGAATCTCATAAAAGGAAGGGTTTGAGGAGAGTATCGATACGTAGACTGATTCCTACTCAGAAGTAGAGTGGTTGTTTGCAAAGAGATCTCCGACTCAAGTATTATAGGTAATCACGTACGCAACCTGACCCGTGTGTTTAAACTATAGAGCGGCTATTTCTGGATGAACCCATGATGAGCGTCGAAAGCTGCATTGACTAACTGCTATTTTCCTAATAAAAGAAATGCAAACAATTTAAAAAGTTGTTTTGTTTTATTCCATCATACTCCAAAGCAAAAAAAATAGTAAGGGTCTGTTTGACAGACATAATTGATGGAATTGGAATTGAATTAGAAATGAATTCTCCATTTTCACTTCCTTTTTGGCTATAACAATTTCAAATCTACATATTTTTATGCTATCAAACAGCATAATTAGAATGATTGCCCCCAATTCTAGCTCTATATATATATATAGTTTGAATTTTGTGTATCATACATGAAATATTTATAAATAGGAGATATGATAGCATACATGCATAAATATTCTAGTTCTACATGAAATTCAAACTTTGGAATTATACTTGGCTGCATAGGAGATATGGAATAAAAATAAAAATATGGCCACATTTCCAGGGTGCTTGGAAGCACTTTGGGTTAGATTTAAAAGTTGCTTCAATTGTAAAAAAGTAGAAGAAATGACGTGTACAGACCTACAAAAAATAAAAAAAAATAGGGAATAACCTCATGGGAAGAACTTTGGCTTATGGATGCTCTTAAATCATCTTTAATGGAAGGTGCTTAATGAGTTGCTTCCACTTAAAAAGTTGATGTGGAGCACATCTGAAGCGCCGGTTGCTTTATCATTAAGAGAGTTGCCTCGTGAAGCAAATATATCTTAATTAAGATCCATCCTTAAGCAAACCACACTAAAGATGTTCTTATAAAAAGTGGTTTTAAAAAAGAACTTTAAAAACACTTATAGAAAAAGAGAAGAAAAAAGAGAAACAATAAAGAAAAAAGAGAGGTAGCGTTGGTGCCTATTTCCAAAACCACATGGGGCACGGGAGCTTCACCTAAGATTTGAAGGGTATTTTAATCTAAAAGGGTATTAGCGTAGAAATATCAAAACGATGAAGGGAATAGTATAAGTTTTGAAAGCATGGGGGTAACAATGAACATCTAGCAACACCTTTAAGACCACGAGTTATAGGGTATGGACCGTCTGTCGTACAATCAGGTTAAATGGACCACATCCGTTGGATATATACTACATACAGACAACTAGATCAATGACTTACGAGCCACTGGGAATGAACTTCTAAATGTACACCTTGATAAACAAGGTGGACCAAAACTTGTTTTGATACCATGATAGAGTTTAAGATGGGTAAGAATCACTAGACTAGGCCATTAAAACACTGGGGTTGAACCACATTAAAAGATTGAATCCAATCGATTACTTGGTTCAACTCAAGAGCTTATATATCCATTAATTTCTCTTCATACTTCCGATGTGAGATACTCTAACACTTCTAAACAAAGTTGCAAGAATAAAGACTAAAGTTAAAATCTTTTAAATATATACTCCTTCCATCCCAAAATGAACTTTACAACTTTTCAAAGTTTGAGAAAAGTGTTGAAAAGTTAAGTGCATTGTAGAAATTTGTTTTGAAAAGAGAAATGTTGTGAGCCACATATCCTTTTCCTTAATAGGATAAGGAGTTTTAAATTCTATTCTGGGACATCCGTTTAAAGATAGTGTAAAGTGTAAACTTCTTTTTGGGACGAAGAGACAAAGTTTTCTTTTGTAAACATTAGATGGAATTCTTGGTCAAAAACCCATAAATCTATTGAGCCCACATTGATGGAAATATGGAATTAAATGATTGAAAAATGTAAAAATATATAACCTCAAATTTTTGGATTGCTGCCTCAGCTTTTGCCTTCTGCAAGTTTTCCCAGGCTGATATTCTGGCTTCTTCGCTCTTGACTCTAGAATATATAAAACAATACGAAACAGATGGAATTGTGTATATAGTAGTTTTAGTAAAACTTTGCGTTTATACTAAGTTAGTAAGAATGTACACCTGATCAAATGT